GGCCGCGCTGGGGAGGCTCGAGGGCCGGGATTACAGGACGAAAAAAAGCCTGGAGGCAGGATCGCGCTGTCGGCCGGCATCAGCCCATCCGGCTGTAGGTAACGTGTGCCGTTCGCTAAAGTCCATCGGCCACGGCAGGGACGTTCCCCAGCGCTGTCCCGGGAGGCAGAGAAGCGTAACAGCCGGCCCTCGAAGGCTCCTTCCGCTCCCGGGGAAAAGCGCATGACTGAAGCCGACCTTTCATCCGTATCCTACTTGAAAAGCGAGGAGAGTTCCAGCAAGCAGCAAAGTATGAAGTAGTGTCCACGCTCCTTCTCCTGGAGCAGCGGAGAGCGCAGCCTTTCTCAGCTGTAGGTCCGTCCCGCAAGTGCACTTTCAATGATGCGCTTTGAGAGACCGGGTTTTCGAAAGCCGAGTGACACCAGACTGGCGAGGGAGTCCCTCCGTGCGCAACGTGACCACAAACTCAGCGTGATTTCACATCAGGCCTCGCACAAGGCAGGTGTAAGAGCCCCCCTCGGCCTCGCAGCCCTGGGTGGCCACTCATCTTCCGAGGCGGGGACAGGACGCAGCCGTCGGGGGGTGGCGGCTGCAGGAGATCCCGGTCCCCCGCCGCCGTCGGGGTGTTTAGCACCACCTATGTAAATTATGCTTGGCAGCATAAATCCCACGGAATCCGGAGACGATCCCAGTTTCTAACATGCATGGCTGCTTTGGAAGCCCCACTCTCCCGTGTTGCTCACTGGGTTTGGAATCGTCAGCTGGCCGAGGCCAAGCAGAAGACGCACCGAAGCAATTTCACTACATTGAGCACTTCCGCTGATGCCAAGCAAATATCAGCAGGATCAGTCCCAGCAATAACAATTGCCAGGGTGGGAGTGTAGCATACAAATCCAGATACAGGGGATAATCTGCCCATATTTTTTCCGTCGTGACAGTTCATTAAACCATTTATAAATTGGGTTTTGTTTTTTTGGTTTTGTTCTTTTGGGGTTTTTTTTGTGGGTTTTTTTGTGTGATTTTTTTTTTAAGTGCTTATGTGCAGAGACGAAGAGGTGGGGAGGGTTCAAGAGGGGTGGGGGTGGTGGCAGTGGCAGCGTTCTTTTCAGGCAGTGGCTTTCAATCAGAAAAGGAAAAGAAGCTAATCCTTAAATTGCTCAGTTATTTAAGAAGAAATGACGTACATCTTGGATATGTAATTATTGAAAATGTCAAACACATAATATACAACCCGGATGGAAGAACCAACTCATTGCTTTCTCTCTGAGGTCAACCCTTATTTAAAGTTTGCATTCAAAATTAATCGATTTCAAATCACAAGCACAAAAGGAACAATTCCAAAGCGCCTTTGTGACTATACAATATTTAGGGTCCGGAATGATATCTTGTGAAAGGTAAGGACAGGGAGATATCATCTGCAACAGTCAAACGTCAACTCCTTTAGTATGTTTAATTAGGATTCTTGGCAACCTTAATACTTCACGCAGTTTACCATAGGCAACCTTCCCTGTATGCCTTTGTGAAGGTGTTCGATTTAAATGGGAGGACACATACAAGTAAAAATCAGTGGTCGTGATCAAACCTGAATATTCCACACTGGCGTCACTCACTATTCAGGGTATATTTTTCATGTAAAACAGAAAAGAGCCAGCAAAGGAAAATTGAGCATCAAACCACAACCGAAAATACAGCTTGTCCTGAACTCCCTTCACAAAGCCTTCCCTACACTCTCTTATGCCCTTCTCAAATCCAAAATGGTGGGATATTTCATTTTCAAGTGTATTTGATGGCATTGAGAGAAGCTGCGCTGTCCCTCTCTAACCCCTGTAGTCTAGCAACACAGAGCAAGCCTAAGAGCGCGTTACTTTATCAGTTCTGCTCGCCGGGCTAAATTAAAATGATGGTGAAAATGCCCATCGCTCCAGCCACTGAGGGGACTGGTAGGAAAATGGTCCATTAAACCCAGATCAGGAGCTATTTATAGAACTAAGCGACTACTCGTTAATGTCGCCAGCGGCTACCAGCGAAATCTCTCACAGACACAGGGCTAAACATTTGCACCCTGATTCTTTTCCCGTTCAAACTTCCAGGTGACAAAACGTTTAATGAATGGACTTCGACCCGAGCAAACAGGAAAAGGGGTTTAAAATTTAAATGTTCCTTTGCATCGAAAAAAAGGTTCGTTTCTCCCCACGACATAATTCCCATCCCCCCCAAAAAAGACATAGAGGAAAAGGGGACATAATTTCTATGCATAAGGGATATGAGGTAAGCTGAATGATTGTCCCCATCAGAATATGAAAATTTGACTGTTAGTCTCTGAAAGCAAAGGCGCTACTGAGATATCTAGAGAAGGAAGACAGCTTGTTATCTGCAAATGAATCTCTTGCTATAACGTTGCGATCTGATTGTGCATTTGTTTCCCTTCTGCATTTCATGTGCCTGCGCGCTGACTGGCTGCCAGCGCTATCTTACCAGCACAGCAAGCTGACGAATTGCTCTTTAATAAGGCTCTCGTTAATCTTTTTTCCCCAGGAGATCCGTATTTTCTAGTCAGATAAGGTTGAAAAATTTCAGACAGTGAGAGGCGGCGAGCCGGCCCCCCGCCCCCC